TAGATGTGCCAGTACCAACAGATAGTATGGGAAACAATGCTGAGGCAGAAGAGGCAAGGAGCTGGACTGAATTAGGCAAGCCGACCAGAGTAAGAGTTGCAGGGAGGATTTCTCTTTTCCCACCATCATTTACACTGATCCTTATGGAGATGCCTCCAGATGTAAGAGAATCTGCATTTCTTTCTTTTTCAGTCTCCTCCTGCCCTTTCCCCCTTGACCCTCTCCCTTCAGATACACATACAGACTGCTCTTTCTCTCTGCTTTTTCAAAAAGATTGCTTCTTATTTGATTTCATTCTCTACCTGCTTCGACTATAGAAAAGGAAGGTGTAAAGCAACCTTCTCTGGCATCGTGCCTGACAGGTGGTTTGAATGACAACTGCCATCAATTGACATGATTAATAGTTAGGGGGTGTGTGAGGTTTATTCTGAAACAGCCTTCCCTTTCCTACCACACCACCCCTCTTTAGTGCTCACCCTGCCTGTTGGACTACAATTCCCATAGTCCATCACCATTGCCTAAGGTGTCTGAGGGATGATGGGAGTAGTAGTCCAACAAAACCCGACAACTCAAGCACGGAGAATACTGTGTAATACAGAGATAGCTGGACTAATGCTCTTATTGGCTATAAGGCAATTTCATGACAGCCCCAGGCTACCCTGGTATTTTCCACACTACCCTTTTGATGATCTGGACTACAGAGCTGTATCCAGAGTGAGCTCTGTGAGAATTTTCCTTGGCCCAAGGTGGAGCCACTTGCTCCCTCAACACAGACTGTCACAGCAGACCAAGAGTCAGGGGTGAGCTAATTCCAAAATGAAGGGTGCTAAAATTTCTAACATGACAGGAATTCAAAAGATATTTTGGTTAAATTAATACAATTTCGTTTTGCTTGATAAGTAAAATGGGTGTAAAATTGCATAGATATCATTAAAATTGATTGCCAAGTGCTTGCAGTTATATATTTTATATGATAATATTAAACATATTTGGTTTTTCAAAAGTAGTTTATGTGCTTTTCCATCAAATGTCGACTTACCAAACTAAATGTTGTTCAGTCACAAAAATAATAGCAGATTTGAATTCCCACTCAAGAATACCTTGCAATAATTAAGTTTCAATCCTCAAATGACACGCCCTACTGAGGTAGTGTGAGGAGTGTCATCTTGAGAAAGGAACCACAAATTATAGGATGGATGGAAGAGAAATGAAGAGAGAGGAAAAGAGAGTTTATGTGCTTCTTCATCAAATGTGAATTTACCAAACTAAACGTTGTCCAGTCACAAAAAATAATAGCAGATTTGAATTCCTCACACTCAAAAATACCCTTCACTGAATAAAACCGCAAAAACTACCGTATTTTTTTGCTCTATAAGACTCACTTTTTCCCTCCTAAAAAGTAAGGGGAAATGTGTGTGTGTCTTATGGAGCGAATGCAGGCTGCGCAGCTATCCCAGAAGCCAGAACAGCAAGAGGGATTGCTGCTTTCACTGCGCAGCGATCCCTCTTGCTTTTCTGGCTTCTGAGATTCAGAATATTTTTTTTCTTGTTTTCCTCCTCCAAAAACTAGGTGCGTCTTGTGGTCTGGTGCGTCTTATAGAGCGAAAAATACGGTAAGTTTCAACCCTAAAATGACACTCCCTAGTGAGGTAGTGTGAGGAGTGTCATCTGAGAAAGAAAGGGACCATAAATTATAGGATGGATGGATGTGAAATGAATAGAATAGAGATAAAATATTAAATACACCTTTTTCAGTTCATGGAACATGGCACTTTCAACAATATGCTGGTGAGTAATTTTCTTGTCTTGTCCTAAAGTTTCCCTCCCTCACAGCTTTGAGACATGTGCTTGGAAATGTATATGGGGAAAGTGTATGGGAAGGATATTTCAAGCTGAAGTTGGGAAACAGATTAAGCATCTTTATCGCGGATTCCTCCTCCTTTCCTAAATTGATTCTTCTTTTAAATACGGGGGGGGGGGGGGAGCAGGTTTTGTGTTTCTGTTTCTTGTATTTGCAGCTGATACAATTAGGTTATTCAACCTTTGTTAAGTTTCTCTAAACAGATTTTCCTTATAAGGGAGGTCTCCAACCCTGGATCATTTTATTGTATACTCTTTGTCTTTACGTATTTTTAACCGCAAGTCTACATTTTTCTGAGATTTGACCACCAGAATAGTACACAGTATTCAAAGTGCGGCTGACCACTGGTTTACATATGAGCATATGGTAGCTGGTACTTTATTTCAATCTAATTATTTTCAACTCTAATTTGCCTTCTTTATATCACTACAAAATATTATCGTTTTCAGTAAGCATCTCAACCCTTACATGTCCTGTTCAGAGCCAAACAACATTTTCTCCTTTTAAAACAGGAATAGGCTAACTCCCAGTTTGTGGGTTCCTGTCAGAAGCCACTGTATTTTGTATGAACTAAACTCTTCTGGTATGTTCTAAAGGTAGCACCATCTAGAGCACATTTAAATATTTATTTGAAAATACTGATATCCCACTACAGTGGTACCTCGGGTTAAGAACTTAATTCGTTCTGGAGGTCTGTTCTTAACCTGAAACTGTTCTTAACCTGAGGTACGACTTTAGCTAATGGGGCCTCCCGCTGCTGCCGTGCCACCACCGCACGATTTCTGTTCTCATCCTGAAGCAAAGTTCTTAACCTGAGGTACTATTTCTGGGTTAGCTGAGTCTGTAAGCTGAAGTGTCTGTAACCCGAAGCGTCTGTAACCCGAGGTACCACTGTACTCATAAAAATACCAGAGTGGTTTCCCACAGCTCTGAATAAAAACCATACAATAAAAAACGCAGAGCAATCTTAAAATCCAAGATCAGCTACATATTCTCTTCCATTAGCACTATGCCTCCCATCATTCCCGATCATTTCCCATGCTTTCTGGGAGCTGAAGTCCAGTGTTGGCTTTCCCTGTGCTAGAATAACCTGGAGCAAGAATGTATGCCCATCCACCCTTCTGCTTGTCTTGTGTGTAGAAAGCATGGGTCCAAGTGATTTTCCACTTCTCCCATGCTTTCTAGGCAGAGGTTTTGCCTTTGCCCTGCTACTTGCCCTGGAAAGTCCACACTTTAGTGCTAAATCACAGCACCCTAGTCTTCTGATTGTAACCTGGTTTAACTCCTTTTAATCTTGAATATCAGATTACCCTTGGCCCTCCAGACATAGCTGAACTACAACTCCCAGGGTTCCCCATCCCTGCATTAAGCCATGTAAAAATTAGAAGGCTTTCTCATTGTACACATAGTACATGGGTGATTTCAGCCATACCAAGATGCCACCATTGCTTTTGTGCCAACTGTTTATTCCAGCTCCATTTTGAGTAGGTATTTTCCTATTTTTGTTTCTTCCGTTTCTTAGCTAATGTACAGGGAAGCATTGTGGGAAGTAGGCAATAAGAGCTATGGAGGAGAATTCATCTTACTGGGAGTGGCTGACCACCCACGCTTGAAGACGTTGCTCTTTGCCATTCTCCTGCCCTGCTACACGATGACCTTGCTGGGCAATACAACCATCATTGTAGTGTTGCGGCTGGACCCCCATCTCCACACCCCCATGTATTTCTTCCTCACCAATCTCTCCTTCCTTGATCTGTGCTTCACCACCAGTGTGGGTCTGCAGATGTTGGTGAACTTCTGGCAGAAAAGCAAGACCATCAGTAACGGTGCCTGCGTGGCCCAGCTCTACATCTTCCTTGCTCTGGGCTCCACAGAATGTATTCTTTTGGCTGTCATGGCCTGCGACCACTATGCTGCCGTCTGCCCCCCGCTGCGCTACACTACCATTATGAACCACTCCCTGTGCTTCAAAATGGCTGCTTTTGCCTGGATTAGTGGGCTGACATTGCCTTGAATAGCAGTACATCACCACAAGTGGGGGTGAACTGCGTCATGTGCATAGCAAGGAGACAAAAAGCCAAGGGGGAGAAAAACCAAATGTGGATCAGTTCCTAGTGAATTTTGTGGCTGTATGGTGATGTGAAGGGACGTGGGTGGCGCTGTGGGTTAAACCACAGAGCCTAGGACTTGCCAATCAGAAGGTCGGTGGTTTGAATCCCCGTGACAGGGTGAGCTCCCGTTGCTCGGTCCCTGCTCCTGCCAACCTAGCAGTTCGAAAGCATGTCAAAGTGCAAGTAGATAAAAATGTGACACCAACACGAAGTGTCAAAATAGCAAATTGGAATACTCAAACTATCAATATGCCGTGAAATAAATTTATCCGACCAACTTGGAAAGTTCCCATATAGCTAGTTGATTCAAAGACTTTTGCTCCCTAAGGAGTTAAGTAGTATTTTTCTTTCCACGCCTTCCCTCGTGCAAGTCACAGCCTACAGAGGACATTGTGCAAGCGAGGAGGAGGAGAGTCCTTTGAGGCTTCTTTGCTCATGGCTGCAGCGTAAAGTATTCCCCTAATTATTGGGTCTGAGTTCTGTTCCTTCTGCGGCTCCATGATGGTTCCTCAGGGAGCTGCTGAAGATGCGGGTGGATAGCAACTTCCTCCACCACCACCCTGCTGGATAACATTGTAAAATCTGACAGTAATTTGGATTAAATGTTGTTTTTTAAAGAAATAGTAGATTACCTTTCGCCCTCCAGATGTTGGTGAACTACAACTCCCATCTTCCCAGGAATTGGCCATGCTTGCTGGAGCTGAACAGAATTGCACTTCAGCAACATCTGGAGGGCTGAATGTTCACCATCCCTACATTAAGCCATGTAATAATGAGATGGTTTTCTCATTGCACACATGGCTCCTGGTTCATATTCATACTGCATAGATTCAGAAGCAGATTGGGTAGAGATTACACTTAACTGGCGCTTGGACTTGGGGAACGGGGACAAGTCTCATGTCCAAGAATGAGAATCATTGGGTGATCACAGTCTTGCAACCATGCCACTATTGTTTTTGTGCCAACTGTTTATTTCAGCACCATTTGAGTAGGTATTTTGCTATTTTTGTTTCTTCCTTTTCTAGATAATGTACAGGGAAGCATTGTGGGAAGAAGGTAATCAGAGCTATGAAGGAGAATTCATCTTACTGGGAGTCGCTGACCGCCCACGCTTGGAGATGTTCCTCTTTGCCTTTATCCTGACCTGCTATAAAATGACCCTGTTGGGAAACACAACCATCATTGTGGTGTCGCGGCTGGACCCCCATCTCCACACCCCCATGTATTTCTTCCTCAGCAACCTCTCTTTCCTTGATATTTGCTTCACCACCAGCCTTGGACCACAGATGCTGGTGAGCTTCTGGAAGAAGAAGAAGTCTATCTCCTATGGTGGCTGTGTGGCTGAATTGCACATCTCCCTTGCTCTGGGCTCTACAGAATGCGTCCTTTTGGCTGTCATGGCCTATGACCGATATGCTGCAGTCTGCCATCCACTGCGCTACACTACCATTATGAGCCACTCTTTATGTTTCAAGATGGCTGCCATTGCCTGGCTTTTTGGCTTCAGTAATTCACTAGTGCACACAGTGATGACTGTTCAGCTTCCACGCTGTGGAGAGAACCGAATAGACCATTTTTTCTGTGAGGTGCCAGCCTTAATCAAATTGGCCTGTGTTGACACCTCCTTCAACGAGGCTTTGCTTGTTGCTTTTAGCGCAGTGTTCCTTATAGTACCACTAGGCCTCATTATGGTCTCTTATAGCTATATTGTGGTTGCTGTGTTGAGGATCCGCTCAGCAGAGAGCAGGCAGAAGGCCTTCAACACCTGTGCTTCCCACTTGATCGTGGTGTCGCTCTTTTATGGGACGGCCATCTTCAGCTACGTCCAGCCCGCATCCAACTACTCCCGCGATCAGGGCAAGATGGTTTCCCTTTTCTATACATTCATTGTCACCATGCTCAATCCCCTAATCTATACCCTGAGGAACAAAGAGGTGCACAAAGCTCTAAGAAGACTGACAAAGAGAACCTAAGACCATTGTCTCCCAACTCCATGCAGAGGCTCTGTGGTTATATTTTAATAAAAATAAATAAAACATCACTGATCACTTATATGGCAACCAGAGCTTCTTTTTTATGTTTGATTGCCTGCGCTTGATTGTGGTGTCACTTTTTTATGGGATGGCCATTTTCAGTGACCTCCAACCTCCATCCAGCTACTCCAGCTACTTCCAACAATAAATCTGAATACCTCAACCACTTGATATCCATATTTAACTTTTTCTGGGCCTTCGCCTCCATTGGTGAAAGCCATCTGGGTGTCTTCCTTTCTAAGAGATCTTTATATTTTATCCATACGTTGTACAGAGATTTCCTAATTACATGATTTTTGAAAGCATTATGGGCCTTTACTTTATCATACCATAGATATGCATGCCATCCAAACAAATTATCAAATCCCTCTAAATCTAAAACATCAGTGTCTTCTAGTTGTATCCATTCTTTAATCCAGCAAAAAGCAGCTGCCTCAAAATAGATTTTCAAATCTGGCAGGGAGAATCCCCCTCTTTCTTTAGAATCCGTAAGTAATTTATATTTAATTCTGGGTCCCCCCCCCTGCCAGATAAATCTAGATAAAGCTTTCTGCCATTCTTTAAAGCATTTCACATTGTCTATGACTGGGAGGGCTTGAAAGAAAAATAACATCTTTGGCAATACATTCATCTTAACCACTGAAATCTGGCCCATTAATGACAGTTTTAAATTTGACCATATCTCTAGGTCTCTCTTAATTTTATTCCATAGTTCAAGTTTTTCCCAGACAGATTCACACCCAAATACTTGACTTTTTTCACAAAATCTAGGCCTATCTTTTCTTGTAATAGTTTTATTTCATCATTATCCAGATTATTCTGATTTTTCTGACCCGCTGGGAGCCTGAAGGGCCCTGCCCTGCTTCTCTCCACCTTGCTTGGGAAGGGACCTGACAGGCTCCATAAAGGAGTGTTGCTGCTGCTGCTGCTGCTGCTGCTGCTGCTGCTGGGCAGAGAGATCTCCATTTTTGTTTTGTTTTTTTAATTGCTTATATGAGCAGGCTGAAAGCAAAGAGTAAGGTTACCTTAACTTCCGTCATAGAGCTTCAGTATGCTGATGACAACGTAGTGTGCGCACGCTCAGAAGATGACTTCCAAACCACCCTAAATATCTTTGCAGAAGCTTACGAAAAGCTTGGCCTGTTGCTTAACATCCAAAAAACCAAAGTGCTGCACCAACAAGTATAAAATAACCCCTCTGCAGTGCCACAAATCCAACTCAATGGTGTAACGTTGGCAAATGCCAATCACTTCTCCTACCTAGGCAGTTATCTTTCCACAAGGGCCAACATTGATGCCGAAATCCAGCATCGCCTGAGCTCTGCGAGTGCGGCTTTCTCCCGATTGAAGTGCAGAGTGTTTGAGGACCGGGACATTCGCAGGGAAACCAAAATGCTTGTTTACAAAGCTATTGTACTACCAACCTTACTGTATGCTTGTGAAACATGGACCACTAATAAACGCCACCTCAAACTCCTCGAAACATTCCAGTAACGGTGTCTCTGAAAAATTTTACACAACACTTGGGAAGACAGGCGAACTAGTACTGGAAGAAGCAAAGATCACCAGCTTTGAAGCAATGATTCTTCAACATCAACTTTGTTGGACTGGTCATGTTGTGTGGATGCCTGATGATCGTCTTCCAAAGCAACTACTCTATTCCAAACTTAAAAATGGAAAGCGTAATGCTGGTGGTCAACAAAAGAGGTTTAAAGACTGTCTCAAGGCAAATCTTAAAAAATGTAGTATAAACACTGACAACTGGGGAACACTGGCCTGTGAGCACTCCAATTGAAGAACAGCCTTTACCAAAGGTGTCATGGACTTTGAAGACACTCGAACTCAGGACGCAAGGGAGAAATGTGCTAAGACGAAGGCACGCTTGGCAAACCCTCACCGTGATCAACTCCTGCCCAGGAACCAAGGTCCCCACTGTGGAAGGAATTGTGGATCCAGAATTGGCCTCCATTACGGACTCATTGTTAAAAATGTGTTTATGGAAGACAATCTTACTCGGCTACGAGTGATCGCCAAAGAGAAGAAGAGAAGAGATTTTTTATCTATGTCATTTTAAATTGTGATTCTCATTACAGTGGTACCTCGGGTTATAGATGCTTCAGGTTACAGACTCCGCTAACCCAGAAATAGTACCTCAGGTTAAGAACTTTGCTTCAGGATGAGAACAGAAATCGAGCGGTGGCAGTGCGGCAGCAGCGGGAGGCCCCATAAGCTAAAGTGGTGCTTCAGGTTAAGAAAAGTTTCAGGTTAAGAACGGACCTCCAGAACGAATTAAGTTCTTAACCCGAGGTACCACTGTAATGCTGTATTCTTAGTTTTAGATTTTATGATTCATGTGGAAATAGTTTTCCATTTGGTTGTGTACTTTTTGATGTGTTTTATTTATTGTTTATGATTTTTGTTATGTTGGGAATTATGTAAATCTTGTCATGCTGTAAGCCGCCTGGAGCATTGTTTTAGCTATGGAAAGGCGGCATACAAATAAATGATGATGATGATGATGACGACTGCCTGATAGAACTAGGACACATACAATCTGATAAGAGTTGCAAATTAGTAGCTGCCTAGTAGAACAAGTGGATGCATGGACTTTGACAAGGTTTGCAAAATTAGCCGAGCTCGTGTTAACCACAAATGGCTACAGATAGGTATATACACATTTAGCAAAACTGGTGGTTAGAATGCTCGGAAAGTCATATTGTAGCCTTCTTAGACTTTACCGACTGGTGGAGTCTGCGTTGCTCCCGGGAGGGAGAAAGGAAGTCAAATGACACCGAGGTTTGGTTCAGAGAAAGAGTTTATTCTGCTCTCCGGATAGCAGAAGGCACTTGCGTGGTCAGTCCACAGCAAGTCCAAAGAAATGAGAAATTTCATGCAGTATATATTGTTAGTATCTCGGCTCACAGGCAGAGGTACCTGGCCTCCCCCGAGGCAATTGAGCGAGATACTTGCTTACCTTCCGTCTGCGTCTCCCGGCAGACTAGGTAAACAAACCGGCGATTCTCCTCATTAGACATGAGGAGAACACACCCTCTGCTTCTCTCTTCTCTCTTCCTCCCTGCATTCTCCTCAGGGAGGGGAAATGAGACAGACAGGAGTCCTTTTTACATGTTTTATTCCTGTCACTCAACAGTACATAGAAATGCAACTGCACCCTTCAGACTCCATTAGAAGAGTCACCAACCCTCCGCCCCTGTACTTCCAGTACAGGTCAGATGACACTCTGAGCTAACATCCGGTGCTCAGTACAGAGAATAGGCTCCACCTTTTCTCCAACAGTACATCTGCAAAACACAACATCCTGTTTTGCATTCCAGCCATCTGGAGCTGGCTTTTGCCTTGGTGCTTTTTCCTGACATCCTCCCCCAAAAGCATCAATGGGCAAAACATGATCCAGAGAAGAAAACAAACAGTTGTTATACATATAACAGTCCCCTGTTGCTTCAGTTCCACCCTTGGAACTCCCCACCACTGGTTTCACCAGTGTACCTCTCTGGTTGTCTGGCTTCCAAGGAATGAGTGCTTCTGCATTACTTTGGCTTGCTACTCTCTGTTGTGTCTTTGTCTCTGACTTAGACACTGCTTTAACCTGCTTAGAGTTGTTAACAATAGCAACACATGCAACAGCTAAGTTAGCAAACTCTTTTGAGTACCTCTTCGGTGGTACACCCTTTGTAACTCTCTCAGACCTGCGTATGAGGTTCTGATTCTCTGTGCTCACTGGTTCAACCTCTGGACTCTGTTGAGAACCAGTAGCATTGGCTAACAGTGGTTCTTCCTTCATCTGTGAAGGTCTATCCATTGTGTGAGATTTCCTCTCAATGACTGTTACAACTGAACTCTCTGAGCTATCACTGTCATCATCAGTACCACTGTAATCTGTGACATCAGAAAAATCATCATCATCTGAATTGCTCTCTGTGGGATATGTTTGTACTACAACCCGCTCTTTTTCTGGAGCACTTTCTAGAAACTTTGTGAGAATCACCTGACCAGATTCAGACAAAATTACTCTATAGAAACCCTTTTCATATCCCACCAAAATGCCTCTGGCATTCTTTACTCCACCTGGAGCTTCTGTTCTCACATGAGACCCGAAAACCTCAAAATAGGCAACAGAAGGTTTTCTTTTGAACAGCTTCTCAAAAGGAGAACATCCCAACTCTGTTGAGACTTTTCTCAACCACACATGAAGATAGGACGCTAGCGACTCGGCCCAATATTCATGTGGCAAATGTGAACTCAGCAATTGCGCATTCATCCCCTTTTGCAATTCTTTGTTCACTTTCACACAGACCCCTCTGTTCCACGCTTCTGGCGAAACAGAAACTTTGTGGTCTATCCCTTTCCCATCCAGGAACTTCTGAAACTTCTGTAACAGAAAAACTTGTTTGTCATCTGTGAAGAGACAATCAATGTTAGCATCATGCATATTTTTAACCTTGTCACAAAACTCCTGAAACTTTTCTAAAGTTTCTTGCGGTTTCTCCATCAAATAAACCCAAGAATAATTAGTGAAACAGTCAACACACACAAGGTAATATTTTGCACCGCCTCTAGATGGTTCTAGAGGACCAATCACATCAGCATACACCCGCTGAAATGCTCTGTCGACCTTCTTGACCACCTTCCTGGTGTTCACACTGGTCACACCTGCAAGAGAAATTTCGTTAGAATCAGAAGTATTACATTTCATGTAATCACTTTGATCAAAAGTCAACAAATACAGTCCATCTTTCTCTTTGGCAGTAAGAAACAGTTCTCCATCTTTGTAGATCTTGCAGCTTTTAGCATCATAGGACAGTTTTAGTCCTTTCTTCGCAATCTGCGACACACTCAGCAGATTAAATCTCAGTTCTGGAACCAGGTAAACATCGCTTATAGTCAAGTTCAGACTCTCAAGATACACAGTCCCAATTCTGGTCGCTTCCAACTCCTGACCGTTGGCCTGTTTCACAGTGAAGCTTTGCTTCTTCAACGTCGAAAACAGTTGTCTGTGTGGGCATAAATGTTTTGTACATCCAGTGTCGATTATAAATGCGTTCCCAACATCTGGCGTGGTTCCTTTCGCCATCATAGCCTTTGCAGGTTTCACCTGGTACTTGGTACGGCTTTTGCCTGATGCCTCAGGCTTCGCTGAGCTGCTCTTTGCTCCTTTTGACTGTCGCGGCTTCCTACAGTTCCGCTGTAGATGCCCAGTCTGTCCACAATTGTAGCATCGGACGGCACTCAAAGCTACAGCACGCTCTCCAGTAGCATCAGCAGTGGGAAGATT